ATTAATGTTTATCTAATGAACCCATTTTTTGAATTTTATTCAAATTAAAAATCCAAATTGCATGCAAACTACAAACTTTAAATCCATCATAAAACCATCTTAAATTTCGCGGTCTGTCAAGTGGTGTCAGTATTTTTTTTTTTGTTTTCGTTAAGTTTACGCCAGGTTTGATCCACGATGGCGATACTATGTGTTTTCTAGGGGTTATATTACGAAATTAACTCATACGCCGCCCTGGTACGACGCCTATGGGTTGTCTAGTACGGCGATGATGGGTGATTCATCATCGGTAACGGTGGTAGTCAAATAAAGATGCCCCTAGAAGCGGTTTTACTGATGTCTTGGATGAGGGCTCCAGAACGAGCTCAAAGCGGTGACGGCGAACTATCCAGAAGGGAACATATGGTTTTAAATAGGGACCGGGCAGTTTTAGTCCAGCCAGTGAGAGAAGTAGAGTCTAGTCAAATACATTCCAGTCGAAATTAGTCTGTACATAATCTTTACATAGTTGATCGTGTATGTGATTTGTGATTGGCGGCAACCCAAAATTCATTATTTATTCATTTATTCCTTTCTTCAGACTAGAATTAAGAAAAATCATAAATCCACAAAGGCTGTGGTTTTAAAAACGTCAAAACAAAGTGTCACTATCACGCTTACATACAAAATAAAAGCTGATGGAAATAATTGTCTGAGAATGAGTTCGCGCATCCATCGTGCACATTGTTGGAAAACTTGGCTCTCATCAGTAAATTCCTGATCAAACTGGAATCATTTTGCAGTTGCTCCCGAACAAAACTGCAAAGTGTTAATCTTCGCGGAAAGCCAGTCTCGTAGTTCATGAACTACATGATATGAGTGGAATGTGTAAACCTTAATAACATTCGACAAACAGAAGACTGACCGATGTCAATGTCTCTCATTACCCAGTGTGAAAAGTTTTTGGAGCCACTTGAGCATTTTTTTGGTACTCTTCATAAATTAAGATCATGTCCATTTTCTCGGTATTCGTAAACGAATACCTAAGCATTTTTCTAAATAAATTTTACTGAGAATCGGGGAGTAGAAGGATAATGTATTTTGTGGTGCCTATCGGGACAAGTCAAATTCGTCATTTGGCTGAATCAGCCTGATATACAAATTCTACCCAAAATTCCTTTCACATCCGACTTCAGAAGCTAAACCACAATTCTTTCATTAAATTACCTGGAAAGGGCAATAACATAATCATAAAGTATCAAAAAATCTGTAACTCTTGTTATAAATTTGAATTTTTGGACGGTAGGCTGGTTGTTGGCTAGCATAGAATCTTATAGGTATAGATTAAGTTAAATAAAGTTTAAAAAACTGGTCTAAGATTAATTAGAGAGAACTTCAAGTCCCTGAAATATAGTACTTACAACATACACAGCTTTTTCGATAAATGATAAAATTTGATTTTGTGAATTTTATTTTATTTATTATAAAGATATGTGTGCAGTGTTAAAATAGAGATAAGGAATCATCATATGAGGCGTATGTTGCATATGAGTTTTTCCATTACGAAAGTTTGTGACGACGTAGTCAATATTTTAGGTAGGACACGTATATCACGTATGACAGGAAAATAACAAACAATGTTTTTTTTGGAATCTAGAAAAGGAAAATATTAAGAACACTTTTTGAGAAAAGAGAACAAAGGAATGCTAGCAAAGGGAATCTAACATAAAAATATATAAAATGTTCAAGAAACCCGCAGTAAACAAGATAGTGCACTGGAGAACAACTAGAACGAATGAATGATATAAAAATAATCACACGGATCGCTTAGAGAAGATCGAAGGGCAACAGAAACAGAGGAAGTCCAAAAAGAAAACGAGGGCAAGCTGTAATAGAATACTTTAGAGAGAAAAAATAGTAAACTGGAAAGACAAAGACCGACAAAAGGAAAAAAAGAAGAACCCATTGGTGTTTATTAAATATGATGTTCATAATATCCTCTTTACGAGTCGAATTACAAGTGATATCAAATAATTTTACCAATGACAATTTACTCTACGTGCTTTAGCATTATTGCTCATTTCGAATACAAAGTATGAGTGCCGTCATTTTACATTTATCTTTAGCGTATTATGCTAGAGATGAATAAACAATGAGGTAGTTACTGACTGCTGGTTTCTCGAGCGATAAATGTTTTCCGATGAATGCTTTCTATCATCTTGGCTACGTAACAGAAGTAGTTAGAGCCTGGATCGATGTTTGAATTTACGTATAAATCGTTTCCATGTTTAAAGAGCGACAGTGTAGATCACAAAGCTGTTCGAAGAGTGAGAGAAATTATGTCTGAACAACATAACGAAAATCCGCAGTCGGCTCCAGGTAAAGTTGACATTTTAGGGCGATTTGCTTCTTTTTCTTTCTTTTTTGTCTGTAGTTGTATAGTACTCCACAGGTTCTACTGTTATTGGCAGAATCCATTGTTGTCCATTGTTACCCAGTCAAATACCTTAACAAAGCAGATCATCACAAGATTATTATAAACCCGACCACACAGGTGCATCTTTAGCTTTTGTACTGTAGGTCCAAAGGAATATTTTCTTTCTTTGCTACAGAATGTGCTTCGATTTTTTTGGAATTCTTGACGATACTTTTTTTAAAGTAACAGATTACAACCTTTCCTGACTTGCGGAATATTTCGAAGGTTGTTCCTATTTTTAAGAAAGGAAGTCTTTAACTCATCATTTCCTTCAGAAAATTTCAGCCAAATTTTGGCAAATCCATGGCGACTTACATCAACAATTCTTGGAGTCGATAAGTTCCTTGCGTGAACCAATAAAAAAACAGATTACCTATATTTTTATTGATGAAAGCTATAAAAATGGTGAGACAATTAATTATTCTCTTGGCATCACGAGCTTTTCTAGCATTTACAAAAATTACGCCTTGAAACGGATTAAACACCATATTGTTTTCTTCCTTATATTTTTCGTGCAAGGTCTTTGCCACATTGTTCCACATGGTTTTAATCACATTTACCTTATAATCTTCCCCATTATTTTTCTTCATGTTAAATTCAAGAACTCACACCATGGATGCGAGTTCAACCATCGATCTTCCTTGTATGACATAACCCCTTTCACTACAGAAACTTTCGAACAATTTCCACGTACACTTGTTAAATATTTTCGTGCAGATTGGCATTAAATTGAGAATATTTTTGTCAAAGCGCAAACACATTTTCGAAAAATTGAGATTTTCTGACTTGTTCACTTTGTTGTGATGGTGACAAAAATACAGAGGAGTGGTTTTGCGTTTAAATTTTATTTTAAAAGTTGGTTTTAGAAAATTCGATTAAGAGGTGAAATTTTCTTCAGGAAATAGTCTGCAGAAAGACCTCTCGACCTCGGGGGAAATTTCCTCTCATCTCGGGATCTTACTATTGATAATAATTAGAGAGCGGATTTTATGAAATTTGCATATCCGTTATTTTTTGCATATAAGTCTTGATATTTAATATGTGAACGAATCATGCTAATTAAAAATGAATACAGCTATAAAAAAATTGCATATTTGCACATATTTGCCTTCTGCTGCATATTTCACGTAACGTGTGCATATTTAGCATTTTTATCAATTTTTGTGCTAATTTAAAAAAAAATGATTGTCATTCTATTGGCATTTATCTAGAAAGACACAATTTTATGAATTATATTGCAAATATTGTCCTGAGTTTCAAATAATTAGGAGAGGTTTGGGTTTTGTGGTAGTTTGGAGAAACTACTGGGTGTTAAGCTATCCTTCCGGGTAAATTCGCGCCCTAATTACTTTTGGAAATAAGTTCATTTAAAATATTTTTGTTCGTTACTTCAGTGTATTAATGGTATGTTTTGTGGTTGTCGAAGGGACGTTATCCTATTATTTTTCATCGTGAGTTAGCATTGAAAACATTTAAAGCGATACAAGTGTGTCAATATGTCGATGATAACTCAAATTAATTTATGGATTAAACCTTTTCCTGAACTTATTCTTCAAGAAGGAACTGTGTTTTGTCGCGCCTGCTCTAGACCGGTAAGTATTTTTATACCTGTGGACGTTGTACGCAGTTTTTCTATCTACAAATACATACTATAGAATCACCGGAAAAACTTTTTGTTAGAATTTTTCGAAAAATATCTAAAAAGAAATTGTTATCAAAATAAAAAAGTGTGATTTATATGTTAGTGTGATGTAGTTAAACACTTTGCAATGTGATTCACGTATTTCTTGTAATAAAATGTAAGTTCAGGAAACCTGTTTTTGTAATTTGTAAATAAATTTAGTTAATAATAATATATAATAATATATATATTTGGTCTCCACAGATACATATATGTATAACAGTATATAAGACAAGTCAAAAAGAAAAAAAATACAAACAAAGAAACACTAAAACTAAAAATTAAAAACTAAACATTTAACAAGCAAAATAACAAAAAGACAAAATGATATTGTCAACATGCCATCAACCTTGAAAAAATTCACCTAGGGAATAATAACATTTATCTGTTAAAAATACTTTTAAATTTTTCCTAAATGATGATATTAACTGACAATTTTGAATATTCACTGGCAAGTAATTGAAAATTCTAACTCCCATACAATCAGTTTCTAACACACCAACATTACAACGTTTAAACGGAACATGAATCTGATGTTTTTGTCGGGTATTTACTTTATGTACGTTATGGACATACGTTAGATTATGTCGGTTTTTATAAATGTGAACACTCATTTCAAATATGTATAATGACGGAAGAGTCAATATATTTAATTTTTTAAAAAGGCTTTTGCAGCTTGTATGTTTACTTGCACCGGCAATTGTTCTGATGGCACGTTTTTGACTAATAAACACATTGACTGCGCTTGGTGACCCACCCCATAAACAAATACCATACCTAATTCTGGATTCCACATGAGCATGGTATATATTAACCAATTGATCAATATTTAAAATTATCTTTAAATTTCTTAGAAGATAACAGAGTGAGTTTAATTTTGGAACCAGTATTTTGGCATGTGACTTAAAGTTGAGGTTTGTATCTACCATAAGACCTAGAAATTTTATGGTGTCGACAGTGTTATGCTGTAGATTTGAACATTTGAGATCTATGTACTTACAGGTGTTTTGGCGATTACGAAATCTTATAACTTGTGTTTTTTCAGAGTTTATATAAATGTTGTTGGTGGAAAACCAGGATTGGAGATTCGTCATTAAAATATTAACCTCTCTTTCTAATTGAACTTCATTGCGATCTGAAATTATAATCGACGTGTCATCAGCATATAAAACAGGTGATACATTTTTAAAGATGCTTTCAATGTCGTTTACGTAAAGAAGGAAGAGAATGGGTCCCAGAACTGATCCCTGGGGCACACCTACATCTATGTCAATTATGTTAGAACTGATTTGATTTTTAAAATTTTCTTTATTGGTATTCGGAATTACAACGTACTGATGCCTGTTCTCGAGGTAGGATACTACCCAATCCAAGCTATTACCTCTACATCCATAAGAGAATAATTTGGTTATCAACAGATTATGATTTACGCAGTCGAATGCCCTGCTGAGATCACAAAAGATCCCAACAGGACACTCTCCCGCCTCTATTTTTGAAACAACATTGTTATACAAATCAATCATGGCAGTATTTGTGGAAAGATTATTACGAAAACCATGCTGGTATTTACTAAGTACATTATGATTGTCTAAAAATTTTTGTAAGCGACACAAAAATGCTTGTTCAAAAATTTTTGAAAAACTAGAGCTAATTGCAACAGGACGGTAGTTCTCCATGCAAGCCTTATCTTTTTTCTTATGTATGGGAATCATTTTTGATGTTTTTAGTAATTCCGGGAACTGACCCTTTTCAAACGACAAATTTATAAGGTACGTTAGAGGAGTTATAATTGCAGAGAGTACTTTTTTAATTATGGCTGGCGGAATATCGTCTGGTCCGGCCGACCATTTAGGTTTTATTTTATTTTTCACAAGAGAAAGCAACTCTTCCTCCACATACGGATGAAGAAATAAAGTTTGATTAACACCATCAATATTATGACTATCGGCTGGTGTATTATTCCTCACTGAAATATTTTTTATGAGATCTTTAGGGGCTTGCTTGAAGAACTCGTTGAAGCTATCTGCAACTAAAGATGGATCATTTAAAAGAGTATCTTTTACTGAAATTTCGATGTTATTAGAGATCTCTGGTTCGTTGTGTGTTAATTCTGAAATAATTTTCCATAAAGTTTTGTTAGGGTTATCGGATGTAAAAATTTTGTTTTGAAAAAATCTCCTTTTACTATTTCTAACCAATTTTAAATGAATAAGTTTAGCTTGTTTATAAATGCAGGATAGCTGAGGGTAGTTACTTTTCATAATGTACAGATCTTTTAGCTTAATACTTGATGTTAAAATTTCTGAGTTTATCCACCTCCTACTATACGTATCTGTCTTAGTTGTACGCATTTTAAGTGGGAATTGGTCCTCGAAATGACTCCGAAAGATTCCATAAAAGTAATCAAATGCATCATTTAAATCATTCAAACAGTACAAACCATCCCAATCTTGATTTACCAACCGACAGAGGAATTTTTGAATATCAGCATTTCTAAAAATTCTCTTTAACTCATAGACCTTATTATTTGTTTTAGGGGTAATTTTAAAAATATCAGTTTCATAATAAACTGTCCTGTGATCTGAAACAATATTGTCGAAAACATAACATGTTCCGTTCTCAATGTTAGTGAAAGCATGATCAATAATAGAAACAGTTGATTGAGTAACACGAGTTGGCCACCAGACTTTATCAGCTAACCCATACGATTTTAATAAACTACATAATCATTACATTCTATAAACGAATTTATATTAAAATCACCGCACAAAATGATTTTATTGTAAGGTTTGAAAGTTGAATTTAGCGCATCGTTTAGATTGTCCATAAATGTCTTAAGATCTCCATCTGGAGATCTATAACAAGTTATTACAACAACTGGAGTGTTATTTTGTAAGAGTTTGACAGCACATAGTTCGATGTGTTTATCTACGCAGAACGCATTCAACGAAATTTTTTCCCAACACATGTCCATCTTTAACCAAATAGCGACACCTCCACCCCTCGAAGAGAGGCGATTATAGTGACTTACCAATTTAAATTCATCGATACTATTACTGTTTATCGAGGCCGAATTTGACCATGTTTCCGTCAGACAAAGAATTTTTACACTCCTGCATTTAGAAAGTTCAACCTCCAAAAGTCGGCTCTTGTTAGGATTCAGACTTTGAACATTTAATAAAATGACTTCTGGAGCAAAAATTACTTCTGAGTAGGCTGATTCTTCTTCTTCCACTGAAAAAACTTATCAATGCATGCCCCTTTCGGCCATATGGTAGAGTCCATAGCCTTAGAAAAATTATAACTATACAAAGAAACCTTAAAAGACGAATACTGTAGAGGATGTTTTGATGGTAAGGTCTCACACAGCACTTCTTTGAACATCGGTTTCAAATAGCCGATTACGTCCGCTTCTGTCGTAGATGGATGGAGTCGGTACACGTGCAGATCGATGAATTTCGGAACGGTCTGTAGCGTTGCCACCCCATTTGCGTTTTCTTCACTTTCGCCTACTATCACCCGTTGCCTCTTACGTGAATTCCGGTGTTTGCTAGTTTGCCATTCGTCCTGCTTAGGGACCACGCTTGTATCATTTTGCCCTCTTTCATCTGGTTTGGTTGATTCGTTGACGGAATTCATGTCAGTATTATTATTTACATTCAAACTGATTGATTTCGAAGTTTTTGCACTATCATTTTGTTTGTTCTTCTTAACGTTTTTGTGGAGAGACTGATGTTTTATATCTCTCTTCTCCAAGGCTGGAGCACCCTGATTATCTATGTTGTTATCACCTTTTTTAGCACCGTCACTTTCTCTAAGAGCTCTTATTTGTTCCCTCAGTTCATTAATTAAAATGTCTTTTTGCTTCACAATGTAATTAAATATAGCAACATCTATTTTTTTCTCTTGTCCAGCTATGGCATTTACGGCATCAAAGAAAGCGTCGTCCTCATCTGCGCTGAGTGCGACAGCGTCGCAACAAACAAGGATTTTATTTTCAACATCCACATGTCTTACAGACGGCACCAACTTAGCACAACTTGAATGATATACATTACTACAGTTCACACACTTAATGGCTGTCACTACTTTTGATTTGCACTTTTTGCAGACTGAGAAGTTAGAAGTACCTGACGAGCAGCCTGTCGCCGTCGCCATCTTGCCTTGGATCTTTTCGTTTATTAAGCTTCTTTTTTAATTGTTGGAGCATATGCAACTGCATATCTCTGCATATATTATGAAAGTTACTGCATATTTGCATAAATTTGGTGCATATCATATGATCATATTTCCCAATATTTTGCTGCATATTTTCCGCTCTTTTGCTAATAATAATAAATATATCTTTCTGTTTTCCTTCCTACCTTTTTAACAGATAATGGCCTCTATGATTAATTGCTAATCAAAACATCCTTTTATACATCCTTTTTGTGCTGTCGGATTTAAAACAGTGTTAATAAGTTAAAATTGTAATCGAGTCCGTCGGCCGACACTCTACTTCTAGGTTTTCTCGGCCTTTTATAACTTTGCCGTCTGTTCGGACTTTTATTTAACAGATAATCTCCGAAACTACTGTAGATGGTAAAACGGTAAGCAAAATTTGTCTAATCATCCCCACCAACAACGTGATAACATACCTGCAAAATTTTGTATAATTAATGTATCTTAAAATTCATAAAATATTCTAATCCCACACTTGTGTTTTGTGAATCCGCCCTGCTTTTGTTTATTATTATTATTATTATTATTATTATTCTACAGTGCATCTTTTTAAAAGTGGCCTTAGGGATTGCCATGTTAAATTTTAAACCCCATGTTAACTTTCGTTAGTATGAAAACCCAGACATGATTTTTGCGGTGAAAATAGCCTAAGGTTTTACTTTAATTTCCACTACCACAATAAATTGTTAACTTGTGCTTTAAAAAATAAAAATTATGGCGTATCCTAGAAGGTTTTGATTAGTGATTTTAACTTCTCATTTTTGGCAGCATAATTTTAATTTCAATTTTTTAATTTAATCATTATCATCTTGATTGCAGTTTTTAGAAAAGAAGCAGAATGATGGTATTCAAAGATAAATGGAGACAATTAAAGATAATTTCATTGAAATTGCCTTGGTTGATGCCCACATTCGAAAAAACTGTTCATAAATCTGCCATAAAATTTTTAAATTGTGCTCTTGCCGGGTATGGACCGATGTGGGAATGTTGCAGCAAAATTTTCCGCAATTTTTCTGTTGTCGATAAGCTTTTAATGTATTAATAATAACAATAATATTAATAACATTAATAATTCTAGAATCTCGAAAGTTGTTCTGTTAATCTAATCAATGCATATCATTACTTGGTCTTAGTACCCGTAATGATAGAAGTCTTGCCTGAATGCCGGTCATTTCCGGGTCAGTGGTTGTAACCTACTTACCGGATTTCAAATAAATGCTACTTTATTGTTACCTCACGAAGTGGGTTTCAACCCGAGCCCAATAAAACTACGTTTACGACAAATGATATTATTAAAGATATTACATACGATAAGCCAATCACTGTTAAAATATGCGGAAGGGCACCTCTTCTCTCCTCAGCGTAGGCGGCGGAGGCTCCTGACTCTTCCTTCGGTTCTCAGGTCCCGTCTCTTCCCGAAAATCTTCCTTGAAAAGCCCCTGAACTTGATTGTCTTCCTCCCGAGCTCCTCACTCGCTCCCCCCCGCTATCTCTCCCGTTCTTATCTCCCTTTTTCTCCCCGTTTTTTCCCGTAGCTCACACCAACACTACGCGTGATAGATGCGCCACCACTTCCAATGCAATTCAATTCAAAATTAAATAAAAATCCGTTACACACCCCCCTATGATAACAAAAAAATTTAAATTAAACATAATTAAAATTTTTTCCATAAGATGTATCCCACCTAAGAAAAAGGAAAGAAATTGTAAATAAAAAAAGATTCCAGTCATACTCCAGAATTTTCTTAGGAGTAAACACCAAAAGAATTTTGAGAGCCATTTTCGTGAAACAGGAAAAGTCTCTTTGAGTAGGAATTCGAATCCAAGAATTTGCAGATTCAGAGAGTCACGAACAAAAACATCCTCCATCGGGAGAACATGAAACCTCTGACTGCTAATCGACGAAGGGTTAAAGTTAAATGTCAAAGTCGAGAATAAAATGTCAAAATCTGGAAGTAAACGTCAGAATCGAGAAGAAATTGTCAAAATCAGGGTTTTATTGTGTGCACACGTCGTAATTGGGAAAAAAAATAAATTGTCCTTAGTCGGAAAAAAACCTACTCATCCACTCACCACATTCATACCACATACACGAGATCACTCATACGTCATATTCTCTCTCTCAGGCACATAGACTTAAAAAAATCATTCGTCGGTACTACTGTCTCCACGATCATCACCCCGAAACGGCTTAAGATCTTTAACGTGCCAGTTTCCTAGGTTTTGATGACTCTCAGCCTCCGCTAATCTATATACGAGACGAGAGATAACCTTGGTGACGATACATGGAACATATTTTGGAGCCAGTTTACTGGAAAAGTGCTTTGATGCGTCTGAAAGTACATAATTGCGTTTCCACACCCGGTCACCTACTTGATAGGAATCAGCAGGACGGCGTCGTAAATTATACGTGTGAGAATTTCTTTTATACGCGGCCGTTAGTTTTTGACGCACTGTCTTGTAGATTTCAGACAAGCCCTCCAAATTTTCAAAATATTGGCTCCGGTCAGGGTTCGTTAAATCAACTTTCGATGGGTCGCTGTTCTTGTCATAAAAATCTCCTGAAATTGGTACGTACCGACCAAAATTTATATACGTAGGAGATAATCCGGTGGCTTCATGAATGGCCGTTCGAAGCGCAAACCCAATTTTTGGTAAATGGACGTCCCAATACCGATGATTATTATCCTTAATGTAGGAACGAATAGCAGCCCCGGCTACTCTGTTCACTCGTTCTACGCTGTTTGTTTGGGGATGGTATTTTGCGTTATACCAAATCTTACATTTGTACAAATCCGCTAGCTTCTGAAAATCACGCGAAACAAATTGAGTACCATTGTCGCAGGTGATGATTTGAGGGACACCAAACATCAAGAAGACGTTTTCTTCTACAAATTTGATAATTGACTTGGAATTTGCCTTACGAAGAGGATGTAATAAAATGAACTTGCTGAACCAATCACAGACCATTAAAATATAACAATGCCCCTGCATACTACGAGGAAGAGGACCTAAAATATCAATTGAAATCAATTGCCATGGGAAAGTAGCCTTCTTAGAAGAACCCATCAATCCGGGAGCAGCTACATTAGTTGCCTTTTGAGCTGAACAAGTTGAACATCGAGAGACATATCGTTTAACATCAGTTTGCATGCCAGGCCAAAAATAGAGTTCTTGTATCCGTTCCAGAGTTTTATATGATCCAAGGTGAGCTGCTAGAGGAGAGTCGTGGCTTTCACGAAGCACTTCCAGCCGTTGTGATTTGGGTACTACTATTCGCCAACTTGGAAGGACATTTGGGACTCGATACCGAGGCCTCGCATGTTTATATAGGACACCATCCTTAACTAAATAATCCGGATAATCGTTTGGACGTTCCTCGAGATTTTTAAGCATGGTATGGTACCACTTATCTGTGTTTGCCGGCCTCACCTGAATTACAGCAACCTCTGGCAGTGGCGCTCGACTTAAGGCATCTCGACACCAACGTTTGAACAACATCTTCAAGTGCTTAGGGAGGTTTACCAACGCTTGAAAGAAGCCAACTTGACCATCAATGCAGAGAAGTGTGAGTACTGCCTACCATCTTTAAAGTACCTTGGTTTTGTTGTGGATAAATCAGGTTTGCATACAGATCCAGAAAAAGTCGCCGCCATGGCGGAATTTCCTAAACCCCAAACAGTCACAGAAATGAAACGATTTCTTGGGCTCTGCGGCTGGTACAGGCGCTTTATTCCGAAATTTTCAGATTTCACCGAGCTCCTCACTCGCTCCCCCCCGCTATCTCTCCCGTTCTTATCTCCCTTTTTCTCCCCGTTTTTTCCCGTAGCTCACACCAACACTACGCGTGATAGATGCGCCACCACTTCCAATGCAATTCAATTCAAAATTAAATAAAAATCCGTTACATGGTGGGTCTTAATTTTATTGTCCAACAGGTTACCC